TATTCTTTTTGGGATTTTTTGTATTTTTTCCTCCTATTATATGATTCTTTTGAAGAACCATGTCCCCTAATTACAGATTTACAAAAACCAAACTTTTGCTTTTTGAGAGATTTTTGGATTTGAATATCTACACATTTCTCTCTTAATATTTTATATATATACAAAATCCTAGGGCCTGCTCCCTGTTGAGGTGCAGGGTTGGAAGCTACCCATTTTTCTTTGATTTGTTTACCAAGGGTGCTTGGTAGCTTATCAAAGATTCTGTTATTTAAGTTGTCATCAAATCCTTGTCCCGTTCTAGCAACAAGTTTAAGAAAATCATTGCAAAAGGACTCGATTTGATACCAAGATGTTAATTGAAGGACCTCAAGTTCCTCAATAACTTTATTTTGTAAAGCTCTTTCAGAATCAACAGTTACATCAGATCCTAAGAACATCTTTTTGATTAAAGAGGTAAAATTGTACGGATTTTCCCCCAAGTATTGTGTTTCAGCAACTAAGGTTGGGTTCTCTCTTTTAAAGGTATTCCAATACAATTCTACAGTGGGGCCTAGAAGTGTTTCTAGGAATTCGAACATCTCACCTTCCATAGATCAATTGATCCATGCCCGGCAAGCATCTCTTTCCCATTGATCTATTATTTCTACCCAAAGCTGTGGATTCCAACTTGGTAATTCTAGAATAGTCCCTTGCTGTTTTGCAGCAGGTAACTGATTTGGGTCAATCTCCATTTTTTTACCAAATTGCATCCTGTCTTTGTTCTCTCCCCTATACTCAAGTGTTGCTTGAGGTATGGGATATCTTCCTCCTAACTGGTATGTTCTAGAACCGAAGACTCTAGATGTTCTCGGAGCTCTAGAATTTTCTTCAATTTCAGATCTAGTTGGAGCACTAGGGTTCTGGTTAGGATTCTGACTTGGATTTTCAGGGGTTACATTCATGAACATTTTTTCTTGTTGGGATTCATATTCATGAATGATTTGAAGTATGGGTTTTTGATTTTTGAAGTAAGCCTCAACTGGAAGTTCTAGATCTAGAATTTGATCTTCAATGTCTTCCCCATGGTATTTTAGTGTTAAGACTTCTTCAACATTAACTTCTTTTCCTTTTGAAGAAAAGTAAGTTTCAATGAATTCCCATTCTTCATTATATTTGTCTTTGATTGGTCCCCATTTTTCAAAATGTTCTTCCCTTTTTCTTAAGGTTTGAAGCCAAGAAGGTTCACTTTCTTCATTTTCAATTTCTTCAGTTAAGTGTAGCATCTTGATTTCAACTGTTGCTTCATTTTCTTCTTGTTCAGGAAGAATATTTTCATAATCACTGAAGCTTAGACTCGTTTCTCCCTTATAATTTTGACATAAGGTGTTTCGAGTGGGTACCATTATGGGCTTGCTGAGGAATTTGGTTATGTTCCATTCAGTTCCATTCAGATAGGTTGAATCTAAATGTTGAGCTTGAATGGCCTTAATTCCCTTTGATCCAAATATTTCACATATTTCTTCACTGGTTACTCGATAATTGGTTGTGCCATTATGAGTTATTTGGTCAGTGAATCCTATGCAAACTAAAAGGTTTTTCTCTCCCTCAGCCATAGAATAGCCTTTAGTCATGATTCCTATTTTTAAAAATTGCTTAAAGGCTTTTATTTCCATTTGGAAATTGGGAGTAAAATAAGCAAATCCCCCTTGTTCAGATAGGTCTATTTCTATAGATCCTATAAGGGATTGAATCATATCCTGATGTCTTGTGTCTAAAAGAGTTAAAAGGCATTTTGTACCTAAACCCTTTCTATGGAGTATTTTGACTCCTATAGTGATTAACCCTATGTGTACCAATGAATATTTCATTCTTTCGAGACTAAAATATCCATTTTCACTTAACAGTCTTAGGGTAACACTATCACTATCTTTGACACAGGATATTTGAATTTCCTGATAATACTGAAAGATTGATCCAGCACTAAACAGAGAGTTAGCATTTTCATAAAGATACTTGGGTTTGACCAAGTCAAATTTATGAGTTTTGAATCTTTTTATTTGTTCTTCAAGGTCTATTAAAGTTTCGACTTTTATAGATTCTTGAATTTGTTTTCCTTTGGAGAACATCCTAATCAGAGGGTTGCCTGTGATTTTAGATGATTCCATGATATTTGGATTTTAAGGTAACACAACGTAATTTCTTGAGACTTTTAGTTCTTTAGCCTTTATGTGGGATAAAGACAAAAGACTGGATTTTATCTGTCTAAGATCTTCTTTTACGCTAATGATTCTTGCTACATCTATTATTTCACTTACTTGCTGAATAAGATCTTGTTTCTTAGTCTCTTGACCTATTTCTGCAGTTCTTAAGTGAGTGTCTTTTAAAAGATCTTTTACATTCCTTATTTCACTTAAGATTTCTTCTTGGTTTTCAAGGATTCGTAGTAGCAAAATAATTTGGGTATTCTGTTGTCCTACTAATACTTGATCTTGGACTGCTAAGGGTTGAAAATTGGTTAATCCGTAGGGATTTCCTAATTTTCCTGCTTCTCCTAAAGCTTATTTGTAGTCTGAATTTTGAGCGAAAGAAGTTTCACCCATTCAACCCAAGAATTAATCTTTGAAGTTTTTGGACCTGTTTAAACAACTCTTCTTGATTTTGGATCAAGGTGGCTGTTTGATGAGAGAGGTTTTGAACAAATTGATCTGGTCCTTTGTTATTCAGAAATTGAGAATTAATTAAATTGACTTTGTTTTTGACAAATTCAATTTGTTGTTGCAAGTAGTCTTGATTCTCAATTAGTCTCACAATATTTTTGTTATAATGCTTTTCAAAGTTTTGGAACCTATCGAGCACTACTTTTTCTTTTTCTTTTTGTTTTTTATAATTTTTTGAAAAATTTATAATTAGATCTACTATGCTATTTAACTGGTTATTATCAGAATGTAAATTATGGCTAAAACCTGGAAAACTACACACTATATTATGATTATCTAAAGTTGCCTTTGGTTTTTTATAAGGATGTGAAATAGCTAGATCTAAATAATCTAAACTCTTAAAGATAATATCAACGGACAATAATATCAACAGTAACAGATAATAATATCAACAGTAACAAAATAGTAACAGATAATAATATCAACAGTATTTATTTGACGTAGATAGACAAAGCAGATAAGTAAATGATAGCTATACAAAAGAATGCCAAATATTAACAAAAAGACAAAATAGTCAGCAAATGTTGACCAAATAGTAACCAATTTTGACCAAGCAATTTTTTACAAAGAAGATTAAGTACGTAGATGAGAAAAGGTGGCAATTTACAAAATGTTGACCTTTAGCCAAATTATATGACTTTTAACACTAAGTAGTCTGACACTAGAAGAAAAATAGACAAGAAGATTTCTACTGCAATCTTAACAAACAGATATGAAGGAAACTACAAGACTGACACAAATTAATGCAAAGTTGATTTTTAACACCAAATAATTAGACTTACGTAAAAACAGATAGACTATGGTTAACAAATGAATTATAAGGCAAACTAGACAATAGACAATGAATACAACTATATCTTTGGTAAAGAGTTTCGTCTGTAAACTAGAATTTGTCCAGTTTCTATACCACATACCCATATGTAAATGAAAAAGCTCTGATACCATTATATATATATATATATATATATATATATACATTTTTGGCGAAGAAAACTGTAACCTTGAGTATTGTAGCATCTTGCTTTCTTTGTGAGTTAATCTAGTGGAGAGAGCATGAGTTGGAGAAAAGGGCTCTGATTTAACGAAGTGATTACTTGGGTTATGTTACTTAATCCTTGCTCTTCTGATATCTGGCACTGATCCATTTTTGGATGGTAGCAATTAATGTTTTGGAACACTTAATGCTGAAGTATTAATTTTAATTGGATTCAATAGCATTGAATGTGCGTGAATTAGGTTTGGATTGCTGATCATTGTTGGCAGTTGCTGCTGGTTGATTTTGGATTGTTAGGGTCAATGCAATTTACTCTCAGATTAGGTAAAAATGATGAATTGCAGCATCATGAAGTCTTTGACGCTATGAAATTGTAGTGGATTAGTTGCACTAGGGATTTGTAATTGTGTCTTGGTGGTTAAAGCTTGGAGTTTGGTTCTTAACAACTCAAATGTATTTTGTATCTAGTTTTAGATTATATATTGCTGGCCAAGAAATTTCATTGCTACCATTTCGGACTTGCATAATTTGTAGTTAGGAAAATTATGATAATCTTAATTATTTGAGTCCGGCATTTTCAATTTTAGTAGCTGAGTTGGAATGGTTACTTTTCTTGATTACATACATTGAATTCTTGATCCTTGCTTAATTTGGGGATGGAGTATCTCCTCTGTACTGTTCTTTTGTTTTCTACTTTGTGAGGCTTTATTCAATAAGGTAAGTAGTTGATTTTGTGATAGAAATCTGATTTAAAATCTGAAAATTTTGCTTATGTGGTTTAAGCTATGTTGAAGTGATAATATTGACTAAAAAATCAGTCGTTGCCAAATCGAGTTCACTTAACCAATTTAACGTGTAGAAAATTTTTCTATTTAAGAGATTTTTTGGCCAGTTTAAAATATATATTCTCCATGCTGTAATGTCTTTCAGTTATATTGAGATTTGAAAGTTTCTTATACATTGTTACTTCATATTATTGCTTGACTGTAATTTGTTTAGATATATTGCTATGCTGTACTGTTTCTGTAGTTATTCTATTTGGCTTGACTTCTGTTAGGTGTTTTAATGCACCAGGAGTACAGTGTGCTTGATGATGAAGACAAAGTGGTTGATGGTTTCTATGACGTGTATGGGCCTTCCTCAAATTCAGCACTCCAAGGAAAATTGCCATCTCTTGCAGATCTTGAGACAAATCTCGGGAATTATGGCTTTGAAGTTGTGATTGTCAATCGAACAATTGACCCTGTCTTAGAGGAGTTGGTGTAAATTGCGCATTGTATTGCATTAGATTGCCCTGCTAGTAATGTTAGTGTTTTAGTCCAAAAGCTTGCCGAATTTGTTACAGGCCATGTGGGTGGACCTGTTGGGGATGCTAATATAATGTTGGCAAGGCGGATGGAAAGGAGCACAGAATTGAGAACATCTCTTCATACAAGTTATGTTGCCTATTGGGTCCATTAATATAAGATTGTCTCGGCATCGTGCTTTACTTTTCAAGGTTAGTTATTTTGTTTTTTGCAAATAATTAGGAACTTACGTAGCTTTGTTGAAAGTATTGTAGAGCATATTATGATTAACTTGCTTATGTGGAAAATTTGAATATTTAATTAAAATAAAATATAAGAACATGGTTAAAATAGCCTCTTCTTCAACCTCTCACCTAACCCTCAGTTTTTCTTCTTTCTCTCTTTCATCTCTCAAATCAGCCTTCCTCTTCAATGGAACACGTTGAAGAAGAAAAGAAGATTTTTGGATGAAATTTAAGTTGTCTCAAGAACAACAATGTTGAGGCCGAGAGGGGATTGAGCGTCCAGACCAAGAAGAGCTGATTTTTGGATGAAATTTCATATCCAGACCTGCTTTCAGAGGGAAATTGCAATCTTAGCTTCTGATTTTGATTCTACTTCTTCTCAAGCTTTATAGATGTTGGGGTAAGTAATGAAGTATTGGGAAATGGTGGAAAAAAGAGAAGGGGGGTTGGGGGCCCCGGTTGTTGTTGAGCTTAATGAGCTAAGCTCTAGCTCAACAATTTTTACATATATTGAACCAAAGCTTAACTTTTAGATCAAGCTTCAGCTTCACTTTCATATTCCTTTAGTAAATAAGTCCCGTTTGATTTTTAAAGTACTCGAATATGTTGGACTCTCCTCATTTA